ATATCCTACCAGTAAGTGAACCTACAATATTATGTCAAGCTTGATATTCTACCAGTAAGTGAACCCACAATGTTATGTCAAGCTTGATATTCTACCAGTAAGTGAACCCACAATGTTATGTCAAGCTTGATATCCTACCAGTAAGTGAACCCACATGTTATGTCAAGCTTGATATCCTACCAGTAAGTGAACATACAATATTATGTCAAGCTTGATATTCTACCAGTAAGTGAACCCACAATGTTATGTCAAGCTTGATATCCTACCAGTAAGTGAAAACACAATGTTATGTCAAGCTTGATATCCTACCAGTAAGTGAACCCACAGTGTTATGTCAGGCTTAATATCCTACCAGTAAGTGAACCCACAATGTTATGTCAAGCTTGATATCCTACCAGTAAGTGAACCCACAGTGTTATGTCAGGCTTAATATCCTACCAGTAAGTGAACCCACAGTGTTATGTCAAGCTTGATATCCTACCAGTAAGTGAACCCACATGTTATGTCAAGCTTGATATCCTACCAGTAAGTGAACCCACATGTTATGTCAAGCTTAATATCCTACCAGTAAGTGAACCCACAATATTATGTCAAGCTTGATATCCTACCAGTAAGTGAACCCACATGTTATGTCAAGCTTGATATCCTACCAGTAAGTGAACCCAGTTGGGCCTATCAACAAAATTAACCTTCTATTTCAGAATATTTTGAAGAATTTAATTTGTATGGTATCTTTCAATGAAAGCCAGGCTTATTAACACACGTTCTTGACGTAAACCTCACATACAAGTGCACTCCTAAGTATGGTACCTCAAATCTTTATTGATATCATCCAAGGTGATGTTTAGAAGTAATTAGCAAGTTCTGTTGGAACAAGCATTCAGTAATTCACATTCAAAAGGTTAATCACCTCAAAGAACAGCCATGTGTTTTGTCACCAGGTGTCTCACAGTTGACGTTCCTATGCTAAATGTATATTGTGTTCTTGCCAAGAAAGTAAATGTGACTCTAAAAAAAATGCATCTAATGAGATACTACACCATCATATTTTTGCCACCAGATGTCTCATAACTGATGCTCTCATATTAAATTCATATTGTGACCCTGCTGAGTGAGTAAATGTGACTTCAAAAGCTGAATGAGTCATGCGAGTCAAATGTTTACAGTAAAAGTAATCTTTACCAAACTAGCAGAATTAAAATTACTGTTTAACAAAAATTCCTGAGGCAGCAGATAATAAAAGATTGTTATAAAAACACAATTTTAAAATATTAGGTACACATATTAGCCACATTCATTTTAAAATAAGTCCATTGCATCTATCGACAATATTCTTTTATAACATGGCAGGGGTGTGGAAATCGAATCACCTGACACTCAGAACAAACTGTGGAAATCGAATCACCTGACACTCAGGACAAACTGTGGAAATCGAATCACCTGACACTCAGGACAAACTGTGGAAATCGAATCACCTGACACTCAGGACAAACTGTGGAATTTGTATCACCTGACACCTAGGACAAACTGTGGAATTCGTATCACCTGACACCCGGGACAAATTTTACCATTATATTTTGCCCATTCGACAATCAGTTTTATTTTGTTTTTCTCACGTTTCTAGGGAGCAATGCAGGTTCCTGAAAATTCTGAACTGCTGAAGTTTAGCACATATACACAAATGTTTAAAAATTTATACTCATTATCACATTGCTTTTGTGTACAGTAGATGTCCAGTTAAGTTTGATTTCCAATTCTAGGAAGAATATACAACATAATAAACACTAAAAGATTTAAACTGTTATATATATTAAATGCCATTTTAGTACGTGTTAATATAAGTCATGATTTCTTATCAGTTCGTGTGCGAGGTATTCTACAAGTTATGCTCTAAAATACTACTGAAAAACTAAAATAACATGAACGTGTATATATATATATATATATATATATCTATATACGAGTAACTTGGATGCAAAATGTGG